CTCCCATAGGGGCCCTAGCTGCATTCGGGAGCGCCCGTAATGGGTGCCCAGTGTTTCTTAGAATTTCGATTTTCTGAAATCGGTGTAAAGCGGACCCGTGGCTCCACCCGAGCCAACTCAGGTCGGTGAGGACTTGGGGCTGGCGTTCTGCCCCCAACAGGGAACCACCAACGCGGGACTCTGCCCCTCCACTCTGCGCCTAGGAAGTCTATTCTCACACACTCCCTCCCACCCCCGCAAAGGCGGGAGGACGAAATCGCCACAGGCGACACTTGGGACCTCACAGAAGTCTTCGGAGGATCCTAACCGCCTCATTTCGCAAAGCTGCTTCACTCCACCCAAGCCCAGGAAACTGTGCCTGGAGCGTGTCAGAGAAGGGAGGTGGGGAAAGACAGAAGCCGCTCGGTGACCTTGTGACCTCTTGCCGAGGACGCAGGAGCTGGGAGCGTGTGAACTCTGCATCCTTCCCCGGGATGGGACCCGGGGCCGGCCGGGCCCCTGTGCCTTAGACCCGCCCCTGCCGCCACCCAGCCCGGTGCAGGCCGCCATAATCGGGTTAGCTGGGTCGGAATTACATTACCTTCCCCGGCCCGCCCCGGACCCCGGGGTTGGGGGGGGGCTGGTTCCTGGCGCCTCTGAGCCGGTGAGACTGGGCGCCTGGAGGGGGATGTTCTTACCATCCCTCGGAGGGTGGGCACGATGAGTAGCTTGGCCTGCCTCGGCACGTGGTGGCCAAAGTACCCCACCCCACTGTGCCAGCTCTAGCCCCTCCGCTGCAGCCCACTCCGGTGCTCCCCTACAGGCTGCCAGTTACCCGTGTGAGCCGAAATGCCTTCTAAGTCTAGTAGATGGGTCTCCCTGGGAGCACGGGTCTTCCAGTCGATTCTCCAGGATCTCCTGGGGAAAACTCTGCCCCTCCTTTCTCCCTAGCAGATGGGCTGGCAGCCTGGCGATTAGGGCACGGTAAGGGGTCTTTTCTCTCCAGGGAACCAGGAATGATATTTGGGCATCTGGGCAGGAATATAAGGAAGAGAAAGAAGGGAGTAGGCTTTCTCCTCACACAAAGCCACCAGCCCCTCAGTGTTCTCAGAAAACCTCAATCTGAAGGGGGTGAACGATGGGGGAGGGAGGCAGTGGGCATCAATAATATGTGACATCCTCCCCCAGTCTTGTCCACCTCCATCATCCATTTCTCCAGCTATTCCCCCACCCTGCCAACAATCCCTTCTGAAAGGGTTGCGGGGGCTGGGGGCGGGGGGGGGGCGGGGGCGGGTACTGCTACTTTGGCAGCTGTTTTTGTCTTGGTGAAGGAAACAGATATCACCACCTCCCCTAAGCCTTCACAGAGCTCCAAGCATCTTTTCTCAGCAGTAGAGGGGTTGGGGCTACTAGAGAGCATGAAACCTCCACTGTTCAGGCAAACCCTTCAGAGATAGCAATGGGCTGGATTTCCCTGGATGAGAACAGAGAGCCTAGGGAGACAGTAAAGTAAATAAAGTCTCTCAAGGGGACTGGCCTGCAGGTTAGGAGTTTGTCAGTCCCCTTTCCCACTCTAAGGGTGGGCCTCAGGAGACAGTGAGCACTAGTGTGTCTCCAATCAAGCGGAATAAATCCTTCTTGAATGAATCAATGAGTGAATCAATGCAGGTGAAAAAGGTAGCATTGTGCAGACCTGTATACCTGCTTACTCTACATCCTGCCTTTTTTTTTTTTTTTTTTATATCCTGCCTTTTGAGGTCAGCACAGGTGGCACAGCCACCCAGAGATTACCCAACTGATCCTTGGAGGAGAATGGTCACAAACCTGGTAGTATATACACATCTTCTGGGGATTAAAAAAAAAAAATTCTGTCAGCCACAGTCCTAGGAATTTCTCGGCTTGCCTCTACCTTGCTAGTTCCCTGATTCTCTAGCAAGATGGTTCCTGCTAGTTTCTGTTCAGGCCTTCAAACCTGCAGCTTCAAAGGGAGAGGCCACATTCCCAGCCCATCCTCCTGAATCTTGTCTTCCATTCTGCTGTTGGTGCCATGTCCCCACTCCTGTATCGTCATTTTTCTTATCAATTTAGTCCTTCCTACCCCCAACTGTCTTAGGTCTCTACTATCTGGACAAAGTCTTTGCCCAACTTCTCAAGAGAAATTATGTGTTTCTTTTTCCCTTTTACTGCCCATACCCATTGCCTCCATTTCCCCATTATTTATTCTTTTAACCCACCGCAAGCTGGCTTCACTACATGGACCCTTTCTCAGAGAGCTCCCGTGTCCAGTGTCTGTTATCCAGGACTCCTCTGACATGTTTTACTTTGTTGACCATCAACTTTTTCTTGAAATGTCCATTCTTTTGGCTTCCATAATATCATATTATTCTACATCTTTGGACATTCACAGTCACTGCTTATGTTTTTCCTCCACCGACTTTTCTTCTTCCACCAAAGACTGTGAGCATTCTTCAGAGCTCAGACTTCAGCTTTACCCATCTCTACCTCTGCTCAGGTTTCATCCATTCCAATAGTTCCATCTATTACAGCTACCCAGAAAACTCTGAGACCTCAGTCCCTGGTTCTGACACTTGCTGTGTTCCACCCCACCATTCTAGTTTTCTGGCAAGCTCCACCTGCCTTCACTCTAGCCACCTTAAGTCCAACAGCCTGGAGGAAATTCTTCCCCTCAAGCTCCTTATTCACTTCCTCCTATTATTCTTTTCTTTGAAATGTTTCATACACAGTCCTTCCTTTCCATTTCCACAGATAAAAGCCTAGTCTAGGCCATCATCACCACCACGAAATATAGCTGTAAATACAACAAAAATTCCTGCCATTGAGCACCTTACATTCTAGTGGGGGAGGCAGGTGAAAAGGAAATATATACAATAAACTTAATAATAACAATGCTAAGAAGAAAACTAAAGCAAGGAAGGAGGAAGAAGAAGTGTAAGAGTGGGGGATTATGATTTATCTGGATTGATCACAGAAGACCTCATGGAGTAAAGACCTGAAGGAAGAAAAGGCCCATTTGGATATCTGAGCATTTCAAGTTGGGGACACGAGAGTATATCCTGGTGTATCTGTGGAACAAACGGTGAGGGGGTCCAGTGTGTCTTGAGAGACTGAGGGACTGCGAAAGACCATGCAAGGCTTGAAGGCCATTGTAAGACTTGGACTTTTATTCTAATTGAAAAGAGAAGCTATTGGAAGGTTTTAAACAGAAAAGTAAGAAACCTCATTTTTAAATTTTATTTTAAGCAACTTTCTTAAGGCAAAACTGACATACAATAAAATGTACATATTTAAAGTGTACAATTTGATACACTGACATGTATACACACATGAAACCGTCAACACAATCAAGATAATAAACATCCATCAACTCAAAAAAACTTTCCATGTATCCTTTTTTTTTTTTTTCCCCCCCGGTACGCAGGCCTCTCACTGCCGTTGCCTCTCCCGTTGCAGAGCACAGGCTCCGGACGCGCAGGCTCAGCGGCCATGGCCCACGGGCCCAGCCGCCCCGCGGCATGTGGGAACTTCCCGGACCAGGGCACGAACCCGTGTCCCCTGCATCGGCAGGCGGACCCTCAACCACCGCGCCACCAGGGAAGCCCCCACGTATCCTTTTTTTATTCATGTTTAACTGGAATCACTGTGAGCTGCTATGTTTAGAATAGGCTAAAGAGAGGTAAAGGTACAAGCAAGGAAAGCAGGCAAAAAGCCACTGCAATCATCCAGAGAAGAGATAATGGCGTCTTGGAACAGAGAGGTAAGCAGTGGCTGTAGCGAGAAGTAGTTGATTAAAATATCACCAATCTCATAACTCCTTACCACTAATTCACTCTGAAGATAAATGAACAAATATGTTTCTTTCATAGGATAATTCACTCTCTTCCAAAACGTCTTTTAGCTCCCTATTGCCCTCAGGCTAAAGTCCCAACTCCGCAAGGCTCTGCTTCTTCTATCACTACTCTCAGATCTACACCTGGGCCTCAGTCCAGTCCCTCTCCGTTCACGACCCCCCCGACTTTGCCTTTCTTTTCTATTTCCACCACCCCCCTTTCCCCCCCCCCACCCCCAATCTCTAAATTGTGCCCACACAAAGACCCAATTCCTCCAGAAAGTCTTTCGGGGTCTCCACTGGTATCTCTCCCTTCTTGAGTCTCCAATTGCACCTGATGTTAATACTCCACAGTAATTTTATCTTTATTTTGTTTTTTTTAATCCCACTTTTTAAAAAGTACCTATGGACGTCGGTGTACCAGCTCTAGGGCCTCTGCGTCCTCCCCAAGTACGGGACTGGGCCTATGCTACCGCAGGAGTTCGCTGCCTCAGCGTGTCCATGTGTGGTAGCGTCCTAGCCGTCCTCCCCTCCTTCTTGGGCATCTGCTCTGCATTAGTCTGTCCCAGGCCTCCGCAGGCGCCGATGATTGAATCATCATCATTAAGCAGGGCCTGCTCCCCCATCCTCGGCGGCTGGGGAGAGTGTGGGGGCGGGGGTACGATCACTACCAAGTCCCTGGGGGTCCCTCCTTCCCCTCCACCCTCTACGAGATTCCGCAAAGCTCCGAGAAACCCCCGCTGTGAAGCCGGGACCAGGCCCACCATCGGGATGAAGCTCCGTAATGCGGACGCGTCAGCCGCGGAGGGCGACACAAGTAGAGGGCCCTGGAGGGGCTTCTTTAGCATGGACATCATCACAGGAGATCGACGACCCTGAGCGGTGGCGGGAGGAGACCGCCGGGCCTTTGGGAGTTGAAGGCGGCCGTCTTTTGCAGGCTCCAAAAGTTAGTCCCGAGGTCATGTCGGGCCTATTATGATGATTACTACAGGAGCTCAAAGAGATAGGACCCCTTCCCAGGCACCCCCCGACTCCCTAATTACAGATTGAGGAGGGGGAGGGGCCAGTGGGGCTCAGGTGAGCACACGGCGAGAAAGGGACATGGGCGGGGCCTTACAGAGGGTCAGCGAATCCGAAAAGACCTAAGCCTTCGTTGCGAGGCGACAAGTCCCGCCCCGCAGGCGGCACCGGAAGTGGCCGGCCGGGATCAGCCTTTAAGATGGCGTCTCCTCAGGGGGGCCAGATTGCGATCGCGATGAGGCTTCGGAACCAGCTCCAGTCAGTGTACAAGATGGACCCGCTACGGAACGAGGTGCAGGGGCGGCAAGGTTACCACTGTGGTCGGCTAGCGGTGCGAACTGCGGCCGGCTACAGGACGGGCGGTGGCTGGCCGGGCGCCAGTGCGCCTGCGCAGAGACAGGGTGCCCAATGCGCCTGCGCGATTGCGGTCGGGTTGCCAAACTCCAGGCTAGGACGCCTGCGCATTGTGCCGCTCACTCTTTGTAGTCTCCCCTGGGAAAGGAAGGTGGGGCGAGTTGGCTTGGAGGGAGACCCCGCTGTGCGCGGAGCCCTCTGCTGGGCGGAGGGGGAGTGTCAATCCCCGGGAGCTAATCGGCTGACGGCGCAGGGTGCGGTGTTGGCCGCGGGGTCTGATGAGAGGCGACTTCCAAGTTGTGAAGGCGCACGGGTTGGGGTTGGGAGAGTGATCGTTGACGGAGGGTGTGTCCGCAGGAGGAGGTCCGAGTAAAGATCAAAGACTTGAATGAGCACATCGTCTGTTGCCTGTGCGCAGGGTACTTCGTGGATGCCACCACCATAACAGAGTGTCTTCATACGTGTGAGTGCCCAGGACCCTGGCTGTTTCTTCCAGGCCCCACTTCCCACTAAGCCGGCTGCCAGCCTCTAGGCTGCTTGCCCCAACCACCCAGGCGACCCACCCAGCCCATGAGCCCGATTTCCAGAGGGCCCGAGAGTTTGCTTTTCTCTTCTTGCAGTCTGCAAGAGTTGTATTGTGAAGTACCTCCAAACCAGCAAGTACTGCCCCATGTGCAACATCAAGATCCACGAGACACAGCCACTGCTCAACCTCAAACTGGACCGGGTCATGCAGGACATCGTGTACAAGCTAGTGCCAGGCTTGCAAGACAGTGAGTAACCAACCTGACTTTGAGGGGCCTCTAGAGGACTGATGCTGGGTGACAGCTTGAGATGACAAGGGCTTTGGTAAAGAGGTTGACAGCTAGAGGGACAAAGAATGAGGGAGGGCTTATATTTTACTTCCTGTACTCCACTCCCTTCTAGGTGAAGAGAAACGGATCCGAGAATTCTACCAGTCCCGAGGCTTGGACCGGGTCACCCAGCCCAGCGGGGAAGGTATGTCTCTTGGTAACAGGAGGCTAAGGTAAAACCCCCAGAGCATTCCTCCTGCCCGGTTTTGCTCCCCGGGGAAAAAGGCGTGTGGAACATGTGCCACTCTCCTCATTACTCTGTCTTCCTCAGAGCCAGCCCTGAGCAACCTTGGCCTCCCCTTCAGCAGCTTCGACCACTCAAAAGCCCACTACTATCGCTATGATGAGCAGCTGAGCCTATGCCTGGAGCGGCTGAGGTGAAGGACAGGTCATGGGCTATCTGAAGTGACAGTGACAATGACCCAGAGGCAGGGAGGGGCTCAGGGAGAGGGCGAGCAGTAAGGGAGTGTCTGTTCACTTGAAGAGAGTATATCATGGTCTGGGCAAGGGACAGGGGAAAGATAGAGCTCCCTAACCTGTGTCTGTTCCCCCCCGCCCCCCAGTTCTGGCAAAGACAAGAATAAAAGCATCCTGCAGGTGAGCGGGGCTGAGGGGAGGGCCTCTTTAAGGAGACTCACCTCCCCATGGCCCTTCCCTCACACACCTGTTCTCTTCCTTTCCCTCCCCACCCCCAGAACAAATATGTCCGATGTTCTGTTAGAGCTGAAGTTCGCCATCTCCGGAGGGTGCTCTGTCACCGCTTGATGCTAAATCCCCAACATGTGAGTATCCCATAGTAAGTTTTTTTGGGAGGGCGGCTAAGAAAGGAGGAACAGAGTATAGGGTAGACCAGGGTAGTTCTTGACCTGTGCAAGAGGATACTTCTTGAAACTGTGCCCCTATCTCCCTTCTAGGTGCAGCTCCTTTTTGACAATGAAGTTCTCCCTGATCACATGACCATGAAGCAGATATGGCTCTCCCGCTGGTTCGGCAAGGTGAGCCAGTGCCAAGGCAGTCTCCAGGGCAGGGGCAGACTGAGGGGGCCTCTCGGGTAAGAATGTTCCCACTGACTGCTTCTTCCCTTTGTTCTCTCCTTAGCCATCCCCTTTGCTTTTACAATACAGTGTGAAAGAGAAGAGGAGGTAGGGGCCAAGCCCCCACCTATCCCTCTGCCCTTCCCTCCCCAGATATTTATGTGAAATTAACCTTGGCTTTATTTTTTGAAATAAAAACTTTAAAAAAAGCATCTTTTTCCTTTTTTTCCTGCCACACACTCATGCTTTGTCTTGTGTCCTGCTTCCCTCTTGAGTTTCATCAAGAAGGAGGGCCTCTCTATGTTGGTGTTCCCTCAGTGAATTGCCAAAGGAAAGCAGTAGAGGACCCTACATATGTAGAACTCTGAAGGTGACCTAAGTGAAACCAGGTCATTCATACCAGCTCTTTTTGGTGAAGGGAAGGGGAGCTCTCACCGTCCTTGAATGTTGCCACATATAATGCAGGCCTGAGTTGGAGGTATCCTATTTCAATAGTGGTGAGAATGGGGCTAGGGTTTGACAGTGGCCACTGCAGGACTGAAGAAGAGTGATATTTGAAAGAAAATACAAAGAATTGCACTATGGGAGGAGCCTTAAAAAAAGTGGGATGCAAGAACACACGGGGATAGTCACAGCTGGAAACCTCGCTGTCCATATGAGATTCAGTGGGCCTTTAGGTACCTGGGCTAGGTGAAGCCAGGGTGTGGAGAGGGTAGTTGAAAAGAGGGAACTGGTGCTCAGAAGAGGCACTTTTTAGGAACAAGAGGGAAGCAATAAGGCGAGAACTCCACTGAGTAATTCAGCAAGCATTTCTTGTCTGTTTGAGCCAGACAGCAACAGAGGAGGGGACTGGAGGCCAAAGCAAGGAGCTCCTGAAGGAAGCTAATGGGCTGCTGTGGAATCTGGGACAAACTGGATGGCATAGGCAGCATAAATGTTAAACCTAATTTTAAAGTCTAAATCTGGCGCTGGCCAAAGTCTGACTCCATGAATTCAAGGGGCTCATTGGGTATAGCTTGTGAGGGCTGAAGGTGTCTGAGCTTCCCCAGATGGAGACTGGGTGGCAGAGGGCTCAGGGGAGGCCATAGTGAAGGTGGCCTGAACTGGCTAAAAGAGCCAGAGACTCAGGGGCAAAAACCTGAGCTCTCTCCCAGGGCACAGTAGGCGTGGGCTTCCCTCCCCATGGATGAAGCCTGTAGGCCAAGAGAAAGGCACATGTGGAGAGACTGCAGACAGCAAGGCAGAACCCTTGGTGAACTCTGGGCAGGCAGCAGGGACCAGGGTAGGGACACTGCAGGGCCACTGGCCCAGGCCCAGTTCCTTCCTGGCACCATCTCCAAGATTCCCGAGCCTCACATGTTTCAGGCCTCAGGCCTGGAACGCGCCAACCGCCCCCCCCCCCACCGCCCCCACCAGCTGCCCTTGAAAGCCTAAGTGTCACCTCCTCCAGAAAACCTTCCCTCAGCCAGAATCAGGGCTTTTTTCAGTGTCTTTGGCCTGCCTCTATACCAGCATATATCTGGAGGGTTTTGATGAATTATATCTAGCCCAGCGTTCCCCATTCTCTTCTCCCTAAATTTGAGCTTGGGTACTCCCAGGCCCACTCAAGCACGCAGCACTTAGACTGTCCTCAGGGCATTTCCGGGGGCGGGGCGGGGGCGGTATGGAGGTAAGGAGAATGGAAACGCCCCTACAGAGTAGTCCTGCAGGGGCTTGGCGGCAGCTTGACATCTAGCAGGCCCAGTCAGAAGATAAGGCTGCTGGAGACGGGAGACCTGAGAACCAAGCCTTGGGATGAGGCCTTTGACGACACATGGCTAGCGGCCAAGGAGCAGCAGAAGGCGCTCAGGCCTGGATCTGGGTTGGCGCGGCTCCCCTCCTCGTCCCCAGCTCAGTGGGGCCTTTTGTTTTGTCTGTCAGCCGGGGTGGCAGTGGTGGCGGTAGCTGCCGCTGCCGTGCGTCTCCCGAAGTGGCTGATGCAGACCAGCTGCGGGCAACCGCGCCGTTCTCCCTCCATCTGTGGGTCCATTACTTCCCTCCCTGGCCTGCCCCACGCAGATCCTGACCCTCGGGGTCACTCGGGTCTCGATCTGCGCCACAGCGGGCAAATCAAGCCCACGGTTCTCTTGGGCTTGGTGACCTAGAACGCCGGCGCTGTGCTCAGAGAAGCGGCCGCAGGGCCTTCCCAGCACGCAGCCCGCCCTCAGGAGCCCGGGACCTCGCGGGGCGCCCGGGTGGAGGCGTCGGTCCTCACCTGCAGGGCCAAGCTCGCCCTTGCCCCTCATGCCCTTTCTCACCAAACCCCTTTCGTGGTCCACACTCACCTGAGGGAGGGGGCACCAAGATTTGCTCTGGCCTTTGGCACAGAGGAGGACCCGTCTCTCTCAGCCTGGCCAGTCTCTCCCAGGACTTGGGGGTGGGTGGGGGTGAGGAGTTAGGGAAAAGGGACTTCCGTGGAACAATGAGTCCCAAGGGGTACACCAGTGTAGGGGTGTGGGGGAGTGTCTGAGCATCCCGCCGCTCCCGCACCCCAGCCTGCACACTCCCCGCTTGGCGGCAATTGCACAGAGCTTTTTGTGAGTCAGTGTAAAGGCCTAAAAGAACTCACAGACCTGAGGCCCTAGAAGTGAGAAAACTAAAATTTATGTCTGCATCGGTTATATCTGCATTAACGTTTTCTGAAAGAGAAAACCATCCCAGAAGTGTGTGAGATGTATGGACTCCCCCACCCCAGCTCCTCTGCCTGGAGTTTCTTCTCTAAAATGCCCACTTCCCTCTCACTCTGGTTAAGGGATTTCCCCTGGGAGGGGGGAGGACAAGCACATCTCTTGGGACTGTCCTCGGCCGTCCACCAACCCAAGGAGGTTATTCTGGGGATTCCGCCCCCCTTTACACTCACAGAATTCAGAGAAATGCGTGGGGTGGGAAATCCAGGGGACTGAAGGTCATTTATTGAGCAGATATGGATGCCAAGAAGAGGGGGTACATCCGGGGCAGGCCTGGGTAGAGGAATCTGCAAGCTGAGAGGCTGAGGAGGGCAAGGCGGGTCAGAGGTGCAGTGTCACGGAATGAGAAATAAGATGGGGGTGATGAGGAAATGGAATTCTGAAAGGGGGTGTTGGGGGTGGGTGAGAAGGCACCCTTAAGTGGGAATGGAGGTGCCTTCTGGAGGGAAAGTGAGAAAGAGGGGATCTCTGCTAGAGGAGGGAGCAGAGGACCCCCAAATGTCTGAAGGGACAATGGGGAGAGTCTGTTGCAGAAGGCGGGGTGGCAGGCAGCAATGTAGGCTCACGTCTTTGGATGGCTCTGGGGAGGACCCAAGTCAGAGAGGGTTGGACCATGGGGGTGGGAGGTATGGTGGGAAGAGGTGCACTGGAAAGCAGCAGCACTGCCAAGCTGGGGTTGGGGGAAGCCTATGAGACAGCTAAGCGCCCCGCTCCTCAGCCCAGAACCCAGGTTTAATCTCTTAATCTCCCTCATTAATCATGCCCTTCCTCCTACCCCCCTCGGAGGATCTGGTTTCTCCCCAGCTCAGGTTCCAGGGGCTTTGCTGGGAAAAGTCCCCTCCTGTGGCCCCACAATTGTCTGGACAAGTCCCTGGCTGCTGAGATGACCTTAGCTGGGCTCTGCTGTAAGTGGCCTCTTCTCTTTACTAGTCTCTCCTTCCCTCTCCTCCCCCAAACCCACATCTGGGGACTGCCCAAGCCCATTGTCCAACCCCATTCCTAAGCCCGGTTGCAAGGGGGAAAATGTTGGAGAGACAGAAGGGGAGGAAAGCAAAGGCCCTTCAGGAAAGCCCCACACTGACACACAGGAGTAATTGAGAGCAGAAGAGATGACATAAAAGCTACATAAGAAGATGCATGAGTGAAGGCTGGAGTGTCTTTTTGGTGACAGGCCTGGGACATAGGCTAGGCAGTTCCTGCAGCCTCCTGAGACCTTCTTTAATTGCAGATTAAGGGAAACCCCCAGGATGGTTCAGAGGGCTGAGGCCTCCAGCTAAGAGGATCTCTCCTGGCCCTCCTCCACCTGCCACCATTAATAACCAATTAACAAGGTCCTGGCATCTCAGCTTTCCACTGTCTGCTCTCCGATCCAACAGTGGCCCACTGGGCTGAGTTTATTGCTTAGGCTGCCATGAAGGTACTATGTGAGTGTCTGTGTGAGTCTTAGGGGATGGGGGGTGACTTAGGAGGGAGCCCTTTACCAAGAATACCCTTTGTTGGGTGTGGGCTATGTCACTGCCTCAGGTTACATGAGGTTCCCTGACCCCCATTATCAAAGTGTTTTCCTGTCCTTGTCAAGGAGTCTTTGACCCAGGTGTCTTGGATCTCCCAAGCTCTGTTCAGGGCACCCCAACTGCAGGCTCCACTTGCCCCAGAGAATAGACAGGTGGACTCAGAGTATCACTGCACGAATGGTGGGAGGTACAGAAGTCTACAGAGAAGGTGACGTAATGGACAGTCCAGGAGGGGCTGGTCCACTTCTTCATGGCACTGTTCGAAAAAAATAGAAGAAATCATAGCAGCGAGTTCCTTAGGAGTGGTGAGTTCCTCAGGAGTGGTGGGGCTTCTCTGCCTCTGGGATGTGATACGTGAACAAAACCCTTGCCCTGTTGGGCCTCCACTGGTGAGCAGTGCTATCCCAGAGTTGTCTTCTTCCTACAAAGGAGGGCTGTGGTATAAGCCCAGGACTAGCTGTGGGAGAGAAGTGAGAAAGACAGAACCCAGATAAAATAGGAATGAATATCCCAGGTCTTAGAATTTGCCCCTGGGTTGGTAGGGGTTCTGTCCCAGGATCTGGTTGGGTAGATGAAGTCTGCCCTTCAAGTCACTCTTCTATAGCGAGTGACCCTGATGCTCCTGGGCAGTGACCAGTGGCCGCCTCCACTGTTGTAGATGCTGGGTGGTTTCTGGGCCTCTCCAGGCTGAAGGACCTCTACTCCAACTACAGGAGCTTAATAAGAAAACAAAGACAGACAGATCGACTGATAGATGGAAAGAGTAACCGGGGAGCCCAGGCTTCACTGGCAAAGACCCCTCCTGGGCAGTAACACTAGCTCTGGTTTGCTGTGTCCTCTCTCCTGAGGCCCAGGTCTCCGGCCCCTTCTCCACGTGTTTTGACTTCCTCAGGGCCTCTGAGCCCTAGCGGGACAGCCTTGGGTCCAGCCAGAGAGCCGGCAGAGTCCACTCACCTGCACTTGCTTCCCCATGGCATCCCCAGTATTCCCCGTTACAATCGCTCTGCCTGGCCAGGTCCTTCCAAGTTGCAAGTCCCCCAGCCCCCAGCACCGCGCTAATAACTTCCAGCCGCCCGACCTCTTTAAGAGCGTTCCGCAGGGATGGGGCGGAACGAGGGGGCCAGGTCAGGAGACAGAGGTCCTTACTAGGTGAGACTGGGTATCCTACCACTGGCAGTTCTGCTCTCCCTTTTCGGAATTTTGCAACTCCCCAGCCGTTGGGGCCAGGGAAAGCAATTTTATTGCCGACGAGTTTATGAGCCAGAGCTGCGGCTAGGCGGGGAGTCTGTGGTGTACAGAATCTGGGGGCCGCCCAGGAAGGGTCCAGCCCGAGTGTGCACTGCGCCGCGTCCGGCACCGCAGAGCAGCCCTGCGGCCCGGCCTGGCGGGTTGTTCCTCCGGTTTCTCTCCACGCCTCCCCACCCTGTAGAAATACCGCTGCCGGAACGTCTACCAGCTCCAGACCCACCGCGGACCCGGCCGGGTTGGGGGGTGGGGGCGCAGGAGGAGGGGCACTCGAGGCTCGGGCCCAGCGCGGGGGGCGGGTCCGAGGCTGGGGGCCCAGATCGGGAGCCGCGCTGGGGCCCAGGCAGCTGCGGAGCCGAGCGCGGCGGGCGGCGGGACCGCCACAGCCCGGCTGGCCATGAGCTCGGGATCCGAGCCCCGGACACCCCGGACACCCTTCAGCATCGCAGACATCCTAGGCCCGCACATGGTTCCCCGAGGACCCTCTGCGTCGCAGCTTCCAGAGTCGAACCAAGGTCCCACGTCGCCGCTGTGCGCGCTGGAGGAGCTGACTAGTAAAACTTTCCGCGTACTTGACGGGCACGCTCCGCAGCCCTCTGAAGGTATAGCGCCGGCGAGGTCGCTCACTGTGGCTTGGCCTTCTCCCCATTTCTTTCCTCCAGGTTCCCGGTCTCGAACCTTCGTTCACCCTGGCCGCCACCCTAATCCGCACCCTGCCCTCAGCCCACGTGCTGGGGCTTGCCTCTCCCTCTTCTCCCCTCCCCTCCGTTAGTTCCCAGGCTCCGCGCCCGCTCCTGGAGGCCGCCAGCGCCGAGGGGAAGGGCCAGTCTGTCGAGAACTGTGCGGGGCAATCGCGACAGAGAAAGGCCAGGGAGGAAACAAAAGGCCTGCCCCGGAGGCTGTAAATGAGTGAGCTAGGGCAAGGGCGGCGCAGAAAGTGCAGGGAGGCGAGGCTCGGGCCTCTCCGGGTGACCGAGCTCCGCTCCAAGCCGGTCTCCTCTCGAGAGGGCGCAAGGAGCAGAAGTTCCTTGGAGCCTCAAGGGCCGCGGGACTCTGGACTCCGCCTTTCCTCGCCCTTTGTACCCCCACTCTCTCCCTTTTGGGCTCGAGGAGGGGGCGCCCGTGTCACCCAAAAAGAATAAGCCGAGAGTGCCCAACACCCACGAGTTTAAAGAAGGGCACGGTGCAGGTTCTCTTACACTCACCATTCCGGCTGGCTGCCCCTACTCTGACCATGGTCGGCCCCTGCCTCTGGTGCTGGCCCAGACCTGCAAGCCCGCTCCACCAGGGGCTCCGGAAGGCCTCAAAGGCCCCGCCCTAGACCGCCTGACCGTGCACCAGTTCTCTGGCTTGTCCCGCTCTCTTCCCACTCCCCGGTCCCCGCAGGATACCCTCAGCCTCCTGCCTCCAGTACCCCAGTGGCCGGTTCCACTTTGTGCCCCACCCCCGGGCTGAAATACCACCCTCCCCCCTCGCAAAGTTCGGGAAGGGGCGGCGGTTCTGGCTCCCGTCCGTCTTTTCGCTCCGCACCAACGCCCCCCTCGCTGGCTTGACCCCACCCCCGCTTTTCCTCCCGGACCGAAGCCTGATTTCCGCAAGCTAGAAGAAGGCTGACCCCCGCCCTGTCCCCGCAGGCCGCGCGGCCCCAGGCGCGCTGGGCCCTGGCCGGGCCGGCCGCAGACGGCGGAAGTCACGCACGGCGTTCACCGCGCAGCAGGTGCTGGAGCTGGAGCGGCGCTTTGTCTTCCAGAAGTACCTGGCACCGTCCGAGCGTGACGGGCTGGCGGCGAGGCTCGGCTTGGCTAACGCGCAGGTCGTCACGTGGTTCCAGAACCGGCGAGCCAAGCTCAAGCGCGACGTGGAGGAGATGCGCGCCGACCTGGCCTCGCTGCGCTCGCTGTCCCCCGAAATCCAGTGCCGCCTCGCGCTGCCTGACGGCGCCCCAGGCCTCTGCCCTGGCCCAGCCCGGCCTGACTCTGGGCCCCGATTGTCAGACGAGGAGATACAGGTGGAAGATTGAAGGGCTCTGGGGCCCTGGACTCCGCGCCTCCGCGTCCTGTCTGGGTTCCGGGGTAAAGGGAGGGTGTCGACCCGGGCCCCTTCCGGCTCACAGTCCAGACGCCCACCTTTCCCAATTGTTGAGAATAAAGTTGAGACTCCGCCGCAGCACGCCTCAGTCCTGACGCTCCCAGCAGTAAGAGCAAAATCTGATTATTGCGAAGATTCCGTGCTTGGCACCGTGCTGAGCGCTTTAAATCCGATGTTTCCTTTAACCCTCAAGCAACCCTATAAGGTAGGTGATATAATTATGCCCATTTTACAAAAGAACAACCCCTAGGTCAGGATGTGGACCCAGACATCCAACCAGCCTTCAGAGCTGGTGCTTGTCAGCTTTATGCTCTGGAGACTGCGGGATGAGGGGAAGGGCGTGGGACTCTGGTAGCTGCGGGCGCGTACTCCTCCTCTACTGGCCGCCTTAGTTCCAGGTCTCCACCCAGCGTTTGATCAGCTGCCACCTGGGAGGCCTTGCACCTAACTAATAGACTGGCCCCAGAGTGACAGCGTCCTGCCTGACTCTCCATTTTCCCCACCCTGAGGTCATTTGTTAATAGAGTCCTGACCATTCTCCTCGCCCCCACAGAGAGAATCCTACACTGAGACACAGGCAAAGTGATGAGCTCTGGGAGAGGGGACATACCCCTGCTTCTGGGACCTCCATCCCACCCCGCACTTGGGCGGAAAATGTCACCACCAGGATGATGGTGGTGGCGGGAGGGTGGGAAGGATTGGTCCTACTTGCTGAGGCAGAGCTTAGAGTAGCTGCTTGCAGGGTAGAGAGCCCAGCCCACCTCCTCCAACAGACATTTCTGAGACTAATTTCTAACGCTGGTAATTAATCATCCTGCTGCATGTGACGGGGAGGGAAAAGGAACACTCCCCGTGGTGCAGGTCTTCCCCCATGCCTGGTCATCCCGGTTCATCTTTAGGAGTCCCTCCTCCTCAGTCCTTCCTCCCTCCTCAGACCTTCCCATGCTCAGGTGCCACAATCCCACCCTCAGGATGCTCTGGGAATAATCCACCCAGCGCTGGGGGTGGGGGAGGGGTATGTGTCAGCTAGGGCCTCAGTTGCAGGTAGAAGTCCCAGAAAAGGATATTTCAGGGAAGTGAACAAGGCTGGAAGGCAGAAAGGAACCTGGCATTTTCAGACACAGTTCCAAATGCTTTGCATGGATTAATCTTTACAATAAATCCCATGAGATGAGACTTTAATTTCATTTTAAGGATAAGGAGAATGAAATCACAGAAGCCCATGATCATGTCGTGAAGCTTGTAAGTGGGGGCTGGGACTACTAACCGAAAGAAGTGTTCACAGAGCAGAGAGAGGGACGAGCCAAAGGTAGGAATTTAGGCATTGTACTGTAGACAGAGCATGTCATGGTTCTTGGAGGTTTTAGGGAGGAGAGGTATAAGAGCAATGTTTAGGGCAGGCTCATCTGGCTGCATGTGCAGGGCGACTGGCACAGACCTGATGAAGGAGTGTAGCTCTGGCCACTGCAAAAAGTAAGAGCAGAGAGAATTCAGGGCCAGACTTGGAGTCGGGAGGAAGGTTGTTATGAAACAGGAATCAGTGTAATTTCTCCAGTGACCAAAGATTGGAGGAGTCAAAGACAACCTTGAAACCCTGGGCAACTGGAAGGAAAATGACATCATTGACAGGAACAGATAATGACTACTAGTACAGAGCTAAGAATCTGTCACCTATTATATACAAAAAGTATTCTTTGCACCTGTGTTGCCTCTACAGTACACATATACAACACACACATACCTCCCCTGGTTCCTGTTCAGGGCTCCATCTGTATTCCCTTCATCCCCTTCTAAAGACTGCCTCTCTGGAACCTTTAGATTGGGGTGACTAATTCATTCCTGTTTGCCCAGGGCTTTCCCAGTTTTTTTTTTTTTTTTTTTTCCCAGTTTTACCACTGAAAGCTCCACAGCCTTGGAAATCCCTCAGTCCCAGGAAAACCAGGATGTTTGGTCATTCTGCTTTCCAGCCCTGGGGACTCAGAACTCAGGCTGCTGGGTCAGAACCCTACCAGTTAGCAGTGTGAGTGTGGGACAAAGTGGAGGCAAGGTGTCAGGAGTCCTATGGCTCTTGGGAAAGATTCAAGTCCAGGACAGTCTAAGAGGTACTGGGGCGGGGACATTTCTTTGAGGGGCTGGAAGAGCAAGGAGCAGCTCAGCCTGAAAGCAAAGATGCCATACAGTAGTGGTGGGTGGCCCTTCTTTGAGGGGCCAGGAGCCCTAGTGGAGTCCCCAAAGCATGTAAGTCCCACCTTCCTAGCCCCAGTCCAGAACAAGAGGGCCACATGAGCAGGCCTGGTATGGAGGCACTGTGATATAATCACCCCTTAAACAAACACAACTACCTCTCCCGAACCCCACCCCCCGGCCAGCCGGGCATGAGCAAAGAACTCCCAGGGCAAATAATTCTAGTCAGGAAGGTAGGGTTCAGTCAAGTTAACTGGCTCTGAGCCATAACCCTCTGCTACTTAGGGCTTCCTAAATTCTAGCCCAGTGCTACCTCCTCTTACGATCAAGGCTTGGATAAACAAAACTCAAACCTGTCCCACCAAAATGGCCTCCTGGATGGGTGTCTCCTCTGCTAGGTCCTAGAGCAGAGCTTCCCAAACGTCAGGTGCCTCAGGATCACCGGGAGGGCTTATTGAAACACAAACTGTTGGGCCCACTCTTTCAGCTTCTGATTTAGAATGTCTAGAGGGGGCCTGAGAATTTGTATTTGTAAAAAATTCCCAGGTGACACTGATGCTGGTGGCCCAGGGACCACGCTTTGAGAACTACAGTCCCACAAACTCTGTATTTTGTGAAATAAGCAGCAATTCACTCATACTCCTCTTCCCAGTGTTGGAATCATGAATATGTAGGACAATTGAGATAAAAATCAGTTTATTTAACACCCATTATGTACCAGGCTTTCGGTAGGTAGGTTCTCACACTTTCTCTTTCAGCCCTCACAACAGCCCTGTGAGGTAGGGATTGGGATTGCCCACATTTTACAGATGAGGAAACTGAAGCACAGGTGTTAAGAAATCTGCCGAAGGTGACCCAACTAGTAATGGCAGACTTCAATCTGTCATACAATATTTAAGGGGCCTGAAACCATAAACAATAAAAGAATTTGGGACAGCCTTAAATAAAGAGGTGCTTCAGCATCTCCTATCTCTAGGTGCAAATGGTGTTGAATAAGACCCATTGGGCAGCAAGAGTCATTCATCCTGCTAAATGGTTCCTCTAGGAAAGGCATTCTGGAGGCCTAAAAGTCCCCTGCAGATCCATATTTAAATGAGCTGAGAGTCCCAGGCAGAGCTAGGGAGGAACCAGCCAGGAGCAGCTGCCAGGACCTTAGAGGAGAAACCAGAAGGAGGTCATGATTCTTATACAGAAAGTAGAGGATTTTAGCCTTCTTTAGGGGCAGTGATCCTGGGTGGAAAAAATTATGTAAATTCACATGGGGGAAAGGCTGGTTACAATGCCCAGTGCTGGAGTGGAGAAAGACCATGACCAAAGTAGCAGAAGCCTGGGTTCCTGCTAAGGCCCCATCAGTGGGAGAGCCAGCAGTGCAGGTACGTGGAGATGTATGGGCTCTGCCAGCTCCAGGCAGGAGCTGGTAAGCTGGTAAATACAAACCCTTGGTGAATCTTCTAGCAGTGGGAGGAGGTGAGCATCAGGGCATGAGGAGCTCAGGCTTGAGAAAACAGGGCAAGAACTGGGATTGGGAAGAAGTGAGCATCTGTCAAGCTGAAGGGCGAGACTTGGGCCTTATTCATTACTGTGACCCCATCCTGAGCACAGAGATCTGGCCGGTGAGTGAGTCCCCCAGGGCCAAGAAGCAGGGCAAGCCTCAAATGCCCCCACTGCCAGGTCTGTTATAGTCTGAAAACCTGAACTTTGGTACAGATCCCTTCTTGAGCCTTGGGGGATTTCATTTTTCCTTACTGCTCCCAGAAGAAGCCATCTGCTTAAAACCAAAGGAAGCCTATTTCAGTGGATGTAGGGCTCCTTTCTCTCATCAGAAGGTCTCTGTGGCAAGAGGCATGACTGCCAGGGATGTTCCCAACCATGGTATTAGAGTACAGGTCTCAAAATGTGCAGTGAACTGCTACCATACAGTGTCCTTCATCCCTGTGGGATGCACACATGGCCTTACCTTATTAGGGACAGGTCCTCCTTCATCTGGTGTGAGGTAGGTGCTGGGGCCCAAGTCCCAGGATGCCCCAGCCCTTTGAGGAGTCCTGGAAATGGAGAGGACAGGGTCTTCTGCTCCGAGTATGGGGGAGGGACCAGCTGGAGTGGCTCAGGTGATGTGGGGGATAATGCAAGGGTGGAGACAGAAGGCCAGGGGCCCTCGGAGCAGTGCTTCCAGGGCAACTGAGGGAATGGAGACCTGAAGGCCCCAGCTCAACATGGGGAAATGCATAGGGGAATCCAGTTGACAGAGGCAGCCCAGGGCTTCCTCCCCGCTGGTCCTGCTGAGAAAGAAGAGGGAGGGGCACCTGCTACTCCTTCCAGCAGTGCTGCCTGTGCCCCCCTCATCCCATGCATTCCTGCCCATCCCCCTTATTTGCCTGCGGCAGAAAGCAGCACCATTTGGTGTTGCAATCCCGGCCAGTTCCCTCTGTTTCCCCCTCAGCATGAGAGTGGGTCTGGTCCCTTTACCAGAGCAAGTTGTAGAAGGCAGGAGTGGCGCTCCCAGGCTGCGTCAGGCTGGGACCCGCCTCTCAGAGTCTCCCGGAGCACAGCAGCTGCCTCTTCGAAACGCTTCGGCCCCAGAGGAACGAGAAAGAGGAAAGTGTAGGCGTCAGCGGGGTAGGGAGCTGAAAACTGCCCCCTTTCCCAGACTGGCTCCAGTTCCGAGTACCACTAACATTGTGACACTGTGGCAGTAGCTTAACTAGAAAATGTCAACGTAGACCTGATCCCCACCCGATCCCACTCAAATTCCTCTTCTGCTTCCAACCTCAGACCCATTACCTGCAGTCCCATCAAGCCTTTGCCCAGGTGAAAGAGGCCCCAGGGCCAGCCAGGCTACAAAGGGCGGGCTACCTGGGCATCAGCCAGGGCCCACACCGGCTGACCCGGCCGTTCATGGCAGAATGAGTGACTTCCAAATAACCTGATAAAGACAAAGTGGCCAAAAGTCCAGGTCCTCCCTCGGCACCCGGCCTTGCCCTGACATCCCAGCATAGAGGCCAACCCCCCCCCACCTACCGGTGGTCCCGGGGGTTGAGCTTCGAGGCCTGGGTGAAAAGGACCACGGCCTTGTGGTGGAAACCAATTTGGGCAAAGCTGGTACCAAACTCTGGGGAGGAGAGAGGGTAGGAAGGTTCAGATGGGGCTATCGCAGGGAGGGATGGGTGAGGAAGGAGAGAGAAAGAATCTCACTCCTGGCTCTGTTGTAAGGCAGCTGCCAGCAATTCTAGAGATGCCTAGGAATGGGAAGCAAAGTCAAGCAGGACTCAAGGCCTCAGCCTTCCCAAATCCTTCTCCTTTGTTTAAACAGTTTGTATCAGGCAACTCACGTAATCCTCGTGACAGGTCTGCAGGATGGCATCAGCCCTACTTTCTTGCAGAGGAAACTACCCTGGGTCAGGGTGACAGTGATGGAGCTTGATCCCAGGTCTCTTAATCCTAGGGCCAGAGAACTCCTTCTACTGGTCACTGCCCTCTACCCTTAGATTGCATAACTTCCCAGAGCCCTCTGGCACCCCTTCCACTGGTTCCAGCTGAGGTTCTTCTGCCCTCCTCCTCACCTCTGCCTTATGACTCTGCCTGGAGCTCTCTTCTTTTGGAGTGCTTCCTTCCTCCTAACTCATCTTCTCTTGGGGACCCAAGCTCCTGCCTTGGGGCTCCTGACTCAGTCCCTTTTCTCTGCAGGCACTGGGGGGCCAATCCACAACCTTGAACAAAGCCAGAGACACAAAGGTACTAGATAGATCCAGTGAGTCCTGTGAGCAGAAAGGAAAGTTAAGGAGGGGCAGGGATGAGGTACGTCCTAGAGCAGTGGGAGGAGAGGGTGGGCAGAGGCCATAAAGGGAAGGAAGGGGGCTCTTACCTCTTCCTCGCAACACTGTCCCTGAGCTGGGTTCCCAGAGCTGGACGGTGGGCTCCCATCCCCATCTGCAATGCCTCAGCCCGGAAGGTGAGGCAGGAAGGTGAATAGGTGCAGTGTTGGGATTGCTTGCTTTTCCAGCCCCCACCTCCTGGTACCTGGTGCTCTTGGTACCTGCCTGTAGACATTCGCGTTGGACTCCCCGCCATCCTGCTCCAAACGCTCCCTTCGCTTCCGATCCTTTTGTCATGACGCTGTAATGACAATGACGAGGAAGAGGAAGATGTATTTTGAGCACTATACTTAAACACCCACACCCACACCCACACACACACACACAATTTGTATCCTGAGACCAGTTCTTCATGTGGACAATATATATGGTACCGTACTAAGAGCTCTGCATACACTATCTCATTTAACCCTTGCAGCTCTATGAGGTAGGTTTTGTTGTCATCCTCATTTTACAGGTGAAAAAGCAGGTAAGACAGTCATCAGGCAGAGGGCTCATAGTAAGGAGGCAGATTCCAGCCCAGACAGCACAGTGACTCCAGAACCACTGCACCAAATGGCCTCCAGGAGACCCTCCAGTCCCTGAGCCCCGTGGGGGCCCCTGGCCATCTAGAGTTCTCTCTTCTTCCCTCCCCCAAATCCCTCTGGGCCCCCACTCCTTCTGCCCTCCAGCTACCTTCTTTTTGAGTCGTTTCTTCTCTGCTTTCTGTTTCATGCGCTCCTGCTCAGACACCAGCTCCTCAGCCAGGCGGTTGGCTTCCTGGAAGAGGAAGGGCAGGTGGCAGGAAAAGAGAGAGAGGAAGTGAAAGGGAGGTAAGCAGTATGAACGAATCTTGAAAGATCCAGATTAGGAGAGAATATACACATGGGAATCTGGGGACTGGGAGAACTAGAGTCTCACCTCTTCAGTCAGCAGGAGCTTCTGCGGCATGGCCACCTGAAGCAGGTTGTCTGAGTCACTGAGGCAGGATGCTGAGGCAGAAGGGCTTTGAGGGCAGGGCTTAGACCCTCGTGGAGGGTATAGGAAGGACTTTTGGAGACCACAGTAGGTGCCCAGTCTCTCAGCCTCCTTGGCCTTGTCATTCTGTCCAGTAGTTTCCCCCTCATAACAGAAATGGTCCGGAGGGAATCTGTCAGGAGGGAGAAAGAGAAGGGAAAGGAAGAACGTGAGAGAGAGGAGCATCTGAAAGCCACCCCCCACCCCAACCAGGGTACCAGCGTTAATCCCTGGGCCCGGCCCCTGCACTCCCCACCACGGTGCCACAGCTGCAGCTGCCTGCCGCTCCCACCCACACGGATCCGACGCAGGCCCTGGGGATCATTCTCCACAAGCCGTCGAAAAATATCCACTATGTCTTGGGAGGGGGTGGGGAGGGGACATTAGGTTGGTGTTGTGGGGAACTCTGGGAGACAGCAAGGAGCTTGGCTGGGTTGACCGCTCCACCACGGCAACCACTAACCAGCCACCCAGCCTGGAAAACCTTACTGGCCGACCTCTCCCTGCTCAGCACCTCAAAACATGCTGCTCCTGACTTTCACATGTATCACCTGCCTTCCCAAGAGCTGAGGGTGGCATTCAGTCCAGGCTTCTCTGACATCCTGCCATTAGGTCAGCCACACTGATGCCCCTGAAATGGAGCCCTCTTACCTGCTCTTCCAGCGGTGTCCCCTGCCATATCCTTGAATATGAACACCCCCATATAGTCCACCCTGGAGCTACCTCAACGCCTAAATGAGTGCCACAATTCCTGGCTGGCCTCTCCCCGGCACTTTATCTGTTTCTCCCCCAAACCAAGCTCTCAGCAATTACTCCCCTACTCAGAATTTTCCAGTAATCTCCCACTGCCAGGGCCACAGGCAGGATTGAGTCTAGCCTGGGATTTGGAGCCTTCCAAAAAGCTCCCTGGCTGACCTTTCCAGTTTTCCCTTGCAATCCTCTCCTACTTAGCTGCTGTCCTCCCTCTGCCACCAGGCTTCTTCCAGCCTTGGGGTCTTCCCCCAGCTGTCCTCAAATCCCTCCTGGCTCTGAGCTTCTTTCTCACCACAACTTGCCTCACCTTCAAGAGTTCAAACTCCATCTCCCCACAAAGCCTTCCCAGACCCTTTCATTTCCAGTTATCTCTGCCCTCACTCAACCAAGCTGCATTAACATAGCCTATGTTATATAATTTAAAACCTTATTATTCATTGCTTTTTATTGCTCTCTTAATTAGCCAGGTAGCATAGAACTGGAGAGAACACTGTCCTGGAGCACAGCTGCTTGCATCTTAGTTCTGGCTCTGCCACTACTGGGCTGTTTGATCTTGGACAAGTCATTTAACCTCTCTGGACCTCACCTTCCTCATTCACAAAATGAGGCAAGACTCTTCAAGGCTTGGCCTGTACATTCTGTGGTTCTAATGAGGATTGTTTCCTTAGTTAGTGTAAGCCATCTTTAAAAACAAACAAAAAAAGGACTGCCTTGACCTTCTATCTCTCCCCAAAACACGGTCTATACTACTCTCTTAATTCACTACCTGGCCACACATGATCTGACCACCAAATCTCTTCATGAAATCATCTCCTACCCTCTCGCCCTCCTCCAACTGCAGTGGTCTCCTTTGAAGTTCCTACAATACACCAAGTGTGCTCCCATTTCAGGGCTTTTGTATTTGTTATTTCATCTGCTTGGGATGCTCTTTCCGCAGTGAATGGCTCACTCCTTCATCCCCTTCAGATCCCTGCTTAAATCTTCTGAGGGAGGACTTCTCTGACCACTCCCTTTAAAAAGCAAAACCTCTCAGTTCCATTCAGTGTTCCCTATCCTCCTTCTTGCTTTACTTTTCTTTGCACTTCTCATATTTGACATCCTATATCATTTATTTGTTGAGTGGCTGCCCCCACTAGACACTGCTAATTCACTGACCATAGGAATTTTTGTCTGTTTGGTTTACTGCTTTCTTCCCAGTGCCTAAAACAGTGTTCAGTACATAGTTGGTGCTCAATAAGTGTGTGCTGAATAAGCAAAGGCAGAGAGATGGGTGAGGAGGCTATTGTAATAGAGATGCAGCCAGGAGCTGTGCCTGAAGGACACTGTGTGATCCAGTGAGTTTGCACTTTGTCCTGTTGGTGGTGGAAGTGGATCTGATCTGGGAAGCGAAATGCTCAAATGAAATTGTACTGGGGAAAGAGATGAGTCTAGGGGTGAAATGTTTAGTTAGCAGGTCATTAGAACTGTTCAGGCCAGAAAGATTGAGTTCTTGAACTAAGGTAGTGGCAGCAGAAGTAGGAATGGAAATAATGGATTTGATAGAAGAGACACTTCAGAAGTAGACTTTGTGACTGACTACACAGGTGAGGTAAAGAAAAGGGGAGGAATATGTAGAATGATTCTCAGATTTCTGAATTAAGCAACTGGATGGAAGTTTGTGTTATTAACCAAGATTAAGATGAGAGAAAACGCAACAAATCTGCAAAGATGATGAATTAACTTCTGGACTTGTTGAGTTTGGTTTTAGAGATAACCAGGTAGCAGTTGGAAGTATAGCTTTTCAGTGCTCCGAAATCTGATCCTCTCCCTCCCTCTATAACCCTACCACCTCCTTCAGGACATCCAAATCCATGTGCCAGACCAGGACTTTCAAACCACTTGCTGCCCTCTTGCTCGCCTCTTCTCTCAAACCCATAACTAAGGTCTCACTTCAGTGACGTTCTCTTAACGTTTCCTTGCTTTAGTGTCTTTGCTCACACTGTTCCCTCTGTTCATAATATCTTTCCCCAAGCAACTCCTACCCACTCCCCAATCCTCAACTAAGAGACCCTCGTCTGCCCGATCCTGCTCACTTCAAGCATTTATCACCGTTGAGTCGTCCCCGCCCCCTCCACTTGCGTTGTGTTTCTTGGCAGTAGGGCCCACAGTTACGCCTCTTCCAAAGCCCTGGTGCAGCCCCGCGCGGCGCCGGGCCGGGGCGGGCAGGGCTCAACACGGAAGGTTGAAAAGAGGCGTGACCGTAAAGGGAACGGGCCGAAGAGCAGCTAAGAGTTATGTTTTTTGTTTTTTTGGCCGCGCCGCGAGGCTTGCGGAATCTTGGTTCCCAGACCAGGTACTGATCCCTGGCCTCGGCAGTGAAAGCGCGGAGTCCTAACCCCTGGATCACCAAGAGACCGAATTCCTTGCAGAGTTTGGGGACAGCAGCGACCCCCAGCGGGCAGCCGGGCCGCAGAGGACAGTCTATAGGAAAGGAAGGCGGCGGCGCGTCTGGGGGCCTCGGGGTAGGTGAGCTGAAGCCCTCTGCCCATCGCGTGAAGCACAAAATCCTACTGAAAACAGATCTAATTGGGGCTGCCCCAGTCTTCCTGGACCCCCTCCGGTCTTGTCTCACCTGCTTACCTAGCTTGACCAGCCCCACAGTCTTCGGAATCGCCGCCATCCCCGTCAACAGTGACCCGAAAGTGAAAGTCTGGCATTCGACGCCGGCCGAAGGGCAGAGTAGGACAGAGTAGGCAGCCATCTTTGTTGGGGGCAGAAGCCTCCGCTTACGGAGCGCGAGAGAGTGCATGACGGTCCCGGCGGCTCCCGGGCCAGAGATGACGGCTCCGGGGATGGGGCGGAGCCCCGGCTGCGGCAGGCGTTGGGCAGTACGGGGAGGTGGGAATCGTTAGCTTCGTTCCGGACAAGCTGTCCCATGGCCCAAGCGTCTCGCTCTGGTGGCCTTCTGCCTCCGCTGGCTACCGTGCCGCCGTTACGGGCGCAGCCCGGGGGCGCTGAGGAGGAGCAGTGGCAGAGAAAGCGGGCAGGCGCTCTCCGCCGGGACGTTCGTGGCTGGCTGCGGCTGCCGGTTGCCCGAAGCATCCCCTGCCTGGACCCACGGCCCGGCGGAGCTCCGAGAGGGCAGCCGTGGTGGGCGGTGCCGGCGGACGCAGGAGAGCACCGTGAGGCTGGCGCTGTGGACTGGGGGCGGGAGCCGGCAGCTGGCGGCCCGACCCCTCCAGCGCTGCAGCGTCTCCGGGCGGTGTTGCTTCGGCTGCACCACGAGCGGCAGGAGCTCCTCCACGCACAGGACTGCGCCCGCTACCTACAGGCGACCGTGCGCCTCCTGAGGATCCTGAGTCCCGGCGCTCCATCCCCCGGCCACTTGCCTCAGCTGTGCCGCGACCTGCTGGGGCACCCTTCCGGAGGCGCCGTCCTGCGAAACGGCCTTCAGGAGACACCCGAGCCGCTACTCCTGGCACGATCCGTCGGACTAGCCGCCCAGCGCCTGGATGCTACTATCGAGATGCAGCTTCGGGCTCTGGGCCAGGCGCCCGCCAGCCCGGGCCTATCGTCCCAAATCGCCGACCTGCTGCTGGCACTTCCCGCCTACCACCAGCTGCAGGGAAAAGCCTTGAGCTACGTTCCAGGGGCAGCGCGCCCTTATCCCCCGGCCCGTGTGCTCCGCCTCCTGACGGGGGAGCGGGGTTGCCAGGTGGCAGGTTGGCTGGATGAGGCGCTCAGGGGATCTGACTTGAGGGACCAGCTCCGCAGGCGGTGCCAAGAGGAGCGGGAGCTGCTGCTAGTGCTACTGGGCCTGATGGGGGGCGCGACGGGTTCAGCCAGCAGTGGACTGGGGCTTGGAGGGGCTGGGGCCCTGTGGAGCCAGTACTGGACCATGCTGTGGGCAGCCTGTGCTCAGAGTCTGGACCTAAGTCTAGGACCCTGGAGGGACCCCCGGGCAGCGGCACAACAGCTGAGTCAGGCACTGGGTCAGGGTGAGTGATGGGCCTGGGTGGGTGTTTGGGAAGGCTGGGATCTCTTCTGTATTCACCTCGCTCACTTGCCACCTGACTACAAAAACAGGCTCTTTAGAATGAACATACCCCACCCCACCCCACCCCACCCCCGGGGATTCAGGCTATAGCTTCTGGGCTTTCAAGGCAAAGTCTTGCTTTCCATGCCAGCCTTGAGTCTTGGGGGAAGCCTCCCCTCTTCCCCCATCATTGAGTGGGGGCAGTGTTGGGCAAAGAGGGACCCTGTTTTCAGGCTCCAGTCATTTCTCCCACTAGCATCACTGCCTCAGGAGTGTGAGAAGGAGCTGGCTTCTTTGTGTCACAACCTAATTCATCAGTCTCTTATCTGGAGCTGGGATCAAGGTGAGAAGGAAGGGGCAATGGCAGTGACACAAGCCCCAGACTGCTCCTTCCTTATCAAACCATACCCCCTCATCTTCAGGCTTCTGCCAGGCCTTGGCATCTGCTAGTGGAAATCAGAGCAGCCTTCCCTCATCCTCTCATACCACTGAACTTTTGCAACAGCTCTTCCCTCCTCTCTTGGATGCCCTTCGAGAACCCAGGTCAGGACTGCTCCTCTGCCAGCCTCCAGGTGAGACAAGGTATTGGGGATGGGGGGATAAGAGAACAGCTGAGGACATCTCCTTTATTCCTTAATCTGTTCTGAAGCCTGCCTCCTCCCAAAGGTGTTCTGTGGCCCTTCTGATACTCTGTCCCTCCTCTCCCCAGGTCCTGCCCCCCTTGCCCTGGGGCTCTGTACCCTGCAGACCATCTTGCTCTGGTTTTGGGGCAGAACTCAGCAGCATCTGGCAGCGTGGGCCCCAGGTTCCTTCCTGCTCCTGATCCAGAAGGATTTACCTGTGAGTAGCTAGGGAATGGGGAGGGGAGCATCCCGGGCTGGGCTCGGATCTCACTCCCTGTTTCTGCCAAAGCCTCTATTATATGAGGCAGAAGCTTTGTCTAGCCTGGCCTCAGAGGAAAGCTTGGCCCTGGAGGTGGAGCAGCAGCTGGGCCTGGAGATCCAGAAGCTGACTGCACAGATCCAGGTAAGGAGAGCAGGAGACCTGACAGGGGCCAGCTTTGGGGTTGGTGGGGAGGTTGTGGTGGTGGTAGAACAACTCAGTGCCTTGGAATCGCCACTAAATTTATCTTTTCTTGCTCTTCACTTCTTGTCCTCTCTTTATTATGGAAAATTTCAAAAAAATACAAAAGTAGAGAGAAGAGTATAATGGACCCCCATATTCCTACCACTGAGGCTTTAATACTCATCAACTCATGGTCAATTTTACTTCACTTATATATCCCACCCCCAACTCCCATGTCAGGCTCTCATTTTGTGATGTTAACAGCCACTGATGACTGATGATCATTGTCTATATCCGTTATTTCATTAGAGGGTGCAAGGCGGTGACATTCCAACTCTATCATTCCTTCTTCCTTATTAGTTGGGTTACTCTTATAAAGTGAAACTTGCTCTCATAAATTACTTGGTTACTTTGAGGTATAATTTGTAGAGAAACAGCAAGATAAATGATTGACTTTTCCTTTTATTTACTAGTTTTTGATATGTTTCTCCTGTTTTCTAAAAGCGTAATTTGTATTTTTATTAAAACTGAAATAAAATATTATTTTGGAAGGCTTCTAATGAAAAAATAGCACTTTAATTGCCCCTCCCCAACTTCGATTTCTGATCCTTGTTCCACACTGGTAACTGTCATCCACTCTTGGCTGTTTCTTCTAATATTTTATTTTCTTCTAAATTTATGAATTAAACTATTATACTTCTAACTTTTCCCCATTTTACACAGTATCAGTTCCTACTATGGATGATGTCTCTCTGCTTTTTGTTCTCTTCCTGCCCAAATGTCTACTCGTTGCTCTGAATAGGGGCATGGCTGTAGAGTTCAGTCCCTGTCCCTCTCCTCCTTTTCTCTCTGCATTCCACAGTGCCTTGGTGCTGTAGACCACCCCACTCCCCCACCCCCAGTTTAGCCCTAATCCACCATCTGCATCTGCCTGTTGGGCATTTATACCTCAATTTACTGCTGCCTCTTTCAACTCAACATGTCCCAGAACAGGCTTTTCATGAGTAGGGTGGACAGTGACGGTTGTGGGAGCTCTGGGAAGGGAAGGCCTTGGTGGACACATGGTAACAGAAGTTCCTTACAGGGTCTATGGCTCAAGCCGGTGGCTGGGCAGCCTCAGAGGAGCAGCAGGGGTTACTGGATGTGGGTAGTTCGTAGTTCCTTGGGGGAGTACTGGCGAGATGGTCTGACCAAAGCAGAAGCTTTGGTGTGTGTGTGTGGGGGGGGTGTATGTGTACATAAGCACACACTTGCCCTCGCATGTGCATCTCAAGGGTGGGGGTGGAGGATTATGAAGGAGTAGGTTGTCGTGAAGTTGTGGAGGGCACTGAACGCCAGCCCACAGATTTTGGACTGTATCTCGTAAGTGATAGGGAGACACTGTAAGAGCAGGAGGGGAACAGTGAAGACAGTGATAGAGTCTGATCCAGCTACAGTGGTCAGGATAGAAGGGAGGTGGGGAGACATAATAGGAGACGGGTCCAGCTCTTGGTAGTTGCTGTGAGAACAGAGCAAAAGGGGCAGGGAGAGCGTGCTCATCATGTGAACCAAACACTGTCCAAAGCAGTCTCACGCCTTGCTTCTGTGCCCGATGACTGCACCATTGGGCATCCGCTCTGGGCATTCTACCACATACAGCACTGGGATGAAAAACAAGAATCAGATGTGAGTTTTCTCCTCAGCAGCACTGTAACGTCCCACAGAAAAAACTGTCCCATGGTGTGACCTTGTACTTTCCGAGCGTTGAGTGCAGAATTTCCTAACAAATGTCAGTTGACGAACGGGTAATTTCTTTGTTATATATAAGGAAGAAGGGGGTTCTGGTGTTTGGGATAAGAGAAGAAGAGTTTAGATTTAGACTTGGTGGGAGAGAGCGCATGTATCAGGAGCCACATGGGCTCTCTCCCACCAAGTCTGGCCCCCGCCAGGTCCTTTCCTCTCTTCAGGTTCTCAGGCATACAGTCACCTTTTCCTTAGACCTGCCACTACACACCCCTCTTCTTGGGTTCTTCTCTTAGATGGGCTGTAGAGACCCCTCCTTTTTGCTGTCTTCTCCCCCTCCAAAACCTATCAAACCAAAGAAACCAAACCAGCACATGGGCCTTTTCTTGCTTTGTGGGTTACAGTGCTCTGGAGAAATGGAAGTGGCTATAAAGAATATTCAGTGTGAGGACATTCCAAAGGTTCCTGAATCTTAGAAAGTTATATTCATTGCTCCTGGTCTACACACAGTTCTTGCCTTCCTTTTATAGATGACAGACAGAAGATCGTACAATTCCCTTTTCTTTCTTCAGCCTCTGCCTGTCTGCAGATCATGAAGACCTCTCTCTAGCATGTGCTTTTGAACACTGGCGGTGGTGAGGGTGTCTCCCTTTTTTTTTTCCTATTAACGTTCCTATGGAACAAAATTAACATGGAGGATTTCCATCCTCTGAACCAAGCTGAGGAGAGCAGGGTAATCTTAGGGCAACTGTCCATAATCTTTTCTCGGTCCAGACCTCTTGGAAAATCCAATAAAAGCCATAGTATCTCTCCTCAGAAAATGTCCAAGCCCATACAATTATGCACACAATTCTGTTCTGGGGCTTTATGGATGCCAGGTTAAACACCTCAGATTTAGAAGAGCATATAACTTGACAAGTCCCTCAGAGATAAGCCCCTTTTACTTTCTCCTTATCCCCACAGCTCCTGCCTGAAGAGTCACTAAGTCTCTTTTTTCAAGAATGTCATAAACGAGCCACACAGGACTTCGAACTCCACATGCCACGGGGTCGGTACTGGCGGCATCGCCTCTGTCCTGGTAAGTCCTCATCCCAGCGTTCCCTTCCAGGCTTCTCAGGGGGTAACAGTGTCCTGGCCCCTCCAAATCCTGGCTCCACTCCTCTGTCTCCATCCTGTCCTCACCTTCTGTGTCCCCTCACCCTGAAATCCTACCGTCTTCCCCTAAATGCTCCATTAGGGGCTTGATGGATCTCCCTAGCCTCATATCCTGTCCTTCTTCTTCTCTCACTCCAGAACTTCCCAGCATTCCTAGTGAGTATGCTGGGTTGGTGGTCCGCAGGGTACTGGAGCCTGTGTTGCAAGGACTGCAAGGACTGCCACAGCAAGCCCAGGCCCCTGCCCTCAGCCTGGCGCTGACTGCCATCCTGGGTGCCTGGCTTGACCACATCCTCACCCACGGGATCCGATTCAGGTGGGGAGAAAAGGAGGCCGTGGCAGGGGGATGAATGGAACTGAAAAAAAGAGGGGGATGGGTGGGGCAGAGCCATCCGAGAGGTAGGAGGGTCAGGTGGCCACACTGTACCTTGGCCTTCAGCCTGCAGGGGGCGCTGCAGCTCAGACAAGACTTCGGAGTGGTCAGGGAGTTGCTGGAGGAGGAGCAGTGGGGCCTGTCCCCAGAACTTCGCCAGACTCTGTTCACGCTCAGCATCTTCCAGCGGCTGGATGGGGCCCTGCTGTGTCTGTTGCAGCAGCCCCTGCCCAAGACTCAAGTCCACAGGGGGCCTCCCTGTTGCTGTGAGTCACTCTCCCTCCCCAACTCCAGGCTCTCTTTGCCCCTAGCTCATAGCTTTATGTGCCGCATCCCCCATCCTCATCATTGATCTGGCTTCTGCGTGTGCCCCCCTCCCACACACACACACCGCCAGCCACCTGCCTTCCACTCCTGCCTTACCAGGTGCATGTAATGAGGTCCAGACCATGGAATTGCCCAGCAGCAGCCTCAACAGCCTGGAGAGCTTGGAGCCCCCTCTTCGACCTGGAGCACTCCCAGCCCAGACAGCTCAGCTGCTAAGCACACTGTGGGGAGAAGGACCTAGTCCTGAGGCTTACCTGGTAGGAAATCAGCAGGCCTGGCTTGCCCTGAGGCAGCACCAGCATCCCCGCAGGCACTTACCTTTTCTTTCCTGCCTGAGGACCAGTTCTGAATCCTAAGGACCCTAATCAGAGCCCGTCAGAACTCCCTATCTCTGTCTGAAAAAGCCCAGACATTTAGAAATGCATATTAAAAAAGCCTAATTGGGAGCTTGGAAGAAAGCATACCTGAGAACCACAAGCTACACAGAGCTTGGACTTAGAAACCTGGAGGTCAGCATCCTTGGGAGGCTTGGGCTTAGTTCCCCATCAGTGAAGACATCTCAGAGCTAGACACTAGCAGTAAGGGGCTAGATGCTGGGAGTAAGGCTTTAGGGTTGGATCCCAGGGGAAAGGGAAAGAGGAAAAGCAATAGAAAGCAGGGAGCCTAGATGCCACTTCCTCTTAAGTCCCAGGAGCCAGGCTAAACACTAAAAGTTCGGGACACTACTACAAAGTTAATTCATCAGAAACCACAGAGGTGGAATAGGAATTTATACACCTAAATCAGTCCCACAGCGTATACTATATAATAGTACCCTGCACTCCCCTCCCCATCACTATTTTTAGTCATTTAAGAATACTGGGCTGTAGGACCTTCACGTGTAAGCTTCGCTACTCCAGAGTTCCATGTGTTTAATCTTAAACTACCTGAGTGGAGTTTACCCTCTGGGAGGTTTATAATCCCTGCCGTGGTGGTGCCCTCTCCTTGGAAGGGACCAGCACTTAAGACGGTGTTAACGTAGATCTGGCACAGCAGGGTACAGAGGAGTAAAGGCTGCAAAAGACGTGTTATCGGAGCCAGGTGCAAACGGCTTTTGCACTATTTATTGTCTTCACCGTGATAAAGGGGGCTATTAATGACAGGTTGTGTTTACTGACCGTGTACTTTGGGCGCCCCATACCCTGTGCCGAAATCATCTGTCTCCCTCCTGGCCTTCCTCCTCTTCTCGGCTGGGGAGCCCAGGGCGGCGGCCTGGGGACCAGCACCACCGACCGTGTCAGAGAAGCCGCACGAGGCGGAGGTGGGGGGACTGCGGAAGCGCGTAGCAGTCCACAGCGTCTCGCACTAGCGACACTTCCGCCCGCACGAGTCCTTCCGGGGTGAGGGTCACCATGGCAGCGGCCTTGGCTCGGCTCGGACTCCGCTCTGTCAAGCAGGTTCGGGTTCAATTCTGCCCTTTCGAGAAGAACGTGGAGTCAACAAGGTACGAGGGGGAAGGAGTGCGGACGCGAGGGGCGCGCCTTCCTCCCGCCGGGGGTCTAGCCCCCTCTGCCGGGCGCTCACGCCGTTTTCTCACCGCAGGACCTTCCTCCAGGCCGTGAGCAGCGAGAAAGTTCGCTGCACCAACCTCAACTGCTCGGTGATAGCGGACGTGAGACACGACGGCTCCGAGCCCTGCGTGGACGTGCTGTTCGGTGGGTCTGGTTGGGAGTCGGGAGGGAGTCGCTAGATCTCGGCGCTGGCCCCGCTGTCCTCCCGGTGCCTGACTCGTTTGTTTCTTCCCCAGGAGACGGGCATCGCCTGATTATGCGCGGCGCGCACCTCACCGCCCAGGAAATGCTCACTGCCTTCGCCTCCCACATCCAGGCCAGGGGTGCGGCGGGAAGCGGGGACAAGCCGGGCGCCAGTACCGGGCGCTGACAGCGCGGAAGAGACCAACAAGCAGGTTTTCACCTAAGACTGCTAAGGACACATCTAAGAAGAGCTTGACTTAATTACTCAAATCACTATCTAGAAGACCACAGAGCGCAAAAGAGAAAAGAAAGAGCCCTGTGACTACAAATCCAACCAGTGTTTCTGGGATGAGGCAAGATGGGGAGAGGTCTGGACAAATTTGAATTTTATTTCACTTTCTTACCATCACTCACTGCTTAACCCTTTTGAATTTGGCTTCTTCCAACACTACTCAAGGTACCTCTTACTCTTATTAGAAATGCTGTTATCTCGGTCCTCATTTTTCCATTTCAGCAGCACCTGCCACTCTTAATTCCCTCCCTTGTGTAACTTCTTTTCCGCTCAGGTCCTTTTTCTTCTTTTAACCATAAAGGCATACTACTCTCCTTCTTTCTCTTCTCTCTTTTATTTTTGGGGCATCTCATATTCTGTCATGACTTGAACTACCCTCTTGGGTTAAACCCTACATTTCTGTTCGGCTCTAATCTCAGATTCTGTGCTATAGTCAGGGTACTTACTACCAATTTTCTCCAAATTCCACCAACACTCTTTGTCTAACCCTAACCCGATAATCTTACATACTCTCTAAAGTTGACCCTTGAACAATGCAGGTTTGAATTGCAGAGGTCCTTTTACATGCCTGATTTTCAAATAAATACATAGTACAAGTACTACACGATCTGTGGTTGTTTGAATCTGCGGTTGTGGAACCGTGGGTGCTGACTGTAAAGTTATCCCCCCATTCCCAACTCTGTGGAGCAGTTGGGCCCCTAACTCCCATCCCCACCCCCATTGTTTAAGGGTCAGCTGTACTTGCCTCCTCCCCTGACTTCCTCATTCCTTTAAAAGGCACTTCATCTGCTCAGCCACTTGAACTGGAAACCGCAGCATTATCTCTGGTTCTGCCCACTCCCTGAATAATCCAGTCAGTAAGTTCATAATATTCTGTCTTAAACAAAAACTCCTGAAATGTTCTCTACATTTCCATTCACTCTCCTGTATGATTGTTGCATTCTCCCACCTGGTCTCCTTTTTGCTAACCGTTTTTGCTGCTGCTTACTTTTATCTTTCTAAAGCATATCATTGGTTTTATTATTACAACTTGTTTCAGAGAACAGTGCCTAAAGTACTTTTTAGGCACCCTGCCTAAAGTGTTTTTCATACTAGGTTACCACCCATTAATGTGGATCATGAAGTGAATTTAGGGGGTTAAATCAGCCTTTAAAAAACAAATAGAATAAAAAGTATCAGTAGATGGCACATGGACTGGGAAGTATTCTTGGAGAAACTTGTTTTAAGCATATCATCAATATAGATATAGGTATTATATAAAGTATGTGTATGTGTGTCTACCTGCATGTACTTGGTTGCAGTATAGAATTATTTCTTACTGCAGGTTGTAGGAAAAAATGGTTGATAGCCACTGGTTTAGAGAAAAACTTCAGAATATTCAGCTAGGCAATCAAGAATCTCTGGACACTGGCTGCTGTGTACTTCACCAAATATATTTCCTCCTACCCCATTACTGCTTCTCTCTTAAGATGGTGATATTTTCAAAGGACTGGTTTTCTCCCCTCTCCCTTAAAGGAAAGAAAACTATCAGGAGACAGTATAGTGTAGTAAAAAGCCGAATGCCTGGGATTGAAATCCTGGGTTTTCCCTTAAGTAGCTATGTAACTTTGGACACATTACTTAGTCTCTCAGTGCCTGTTTCTTCATTCGTAAAATGGGGATAATAGTACCTACCTCATAGAACTGTTGAGAGATTAAATGAATTGATATCTGGGACTTCCCTGGTGGTCCAGTGGTTAAGACTCTGCTCTTCCACTGCAGGGGGCACGGGTTCAATACCTGGTCAGAGAACTAAGATCCCTGCATGCAGCGCGGCCAAAGATCAATCAATCAATAAATAAACATATCTGTAAACTGCCTAGAATATTGAGTGAGCATAGCATAGCATCTAAGAGGCCGTGTGTTATAGGCCTCTTCATTGACGAAAGGATACAACCTAGATTTGAGTTCTTCAGGTCCATGGTTAACTGGCTGTTATCCTTGGCCAGATTAACTACTCTCATCTGTAAAAACAGGGGTGGTTCAAACACTGCTGTAAACACGGATTGAGTGCTGGCACTGTGCTTACAGATTTTGAACTTGAGGTTGGGGCTGTTTTCTCTGTGTCCCCCGCACCTTGCATAGTGCCTGATACAGAGTGTGCGATAAACTTTTGTTGAATTTACCAATATTTAGCATCAACCTTGTGACTTCAACTGATTAGTACTGAGATACAAAGATGAATGGTGAAACTCAGGTGTGTATACTAAGTGCTACAATATATTGAATAGGTGTGGACCAGGTGCAGTGGTAGCAAGAAAGGACTGACCATTGGGTTTGGTCAGAAGGTGATTGTTAAATGAGTAAAAAGTCTACCAGTGGAGGGTGGGGCCAGAAGTCAGATTATAGCGAAAGAAGAAGTGGGTGTGCCGCATAAAATAGTAGTTTTGTATAATTAGAGTTTGGATGGGAGGTGTGATTATAGCTAGACTAGCATAAGGGTGTGGAGTAGGGTTTTTTTAGAGGATGATAGAGATTTGTACTTTATGAAAACACCTTTTAGGCTGAGCTGTTGGAGAGAAGTAACTATGAATCGAAGTTGCATTTCTTTTTTCTTTCTTTTTTTTTTTTTTTTGGGGGACGGGGGCCTCTCCCTGTTGTGGCCTCTCCTGTTGCGGAGCACAGGCTCCGGACGTGCAGGCTCAGCAGCCATGGCTCACGGGTCTAGCCGCTCTGCGGCATGTGGGATCTTCCCGGACCGGGGCACGAACCCATGTCCCCTGCATCGGCAGGCGGACTCTCAACCACTGCGCCACCAGGGAAGCCCTAAGTTGCATTTCTGAATCATCATCAAATGTAATCTTGGCTTTTCTAGGACAACATCAGGTGCAGATGCTACCTCTTTCCTACAGCCTTCCCTGACCTGGACATAAGCAATCTTTCCTCTAAGCGCCTTTGCTTCCTGGGTTGTAGAAAAGGAAAAAGAAAAAAAAGTACAGCCACCACCATTATGGTCCTTTTAGGGTTTATCTAGATAAGGAATCCTAGACTGAGTGGAGGTATGACATCTAAAATCACAGATCCTCTTGGATCCACTCCATTTCACTAGGAAAGAAGGCATAGGTGTGGACAATATGATTCAGATACACCTGGGTTCCAAGGTAGCCGCTTCCTGGCTCTGTAGCCAGGGCCAAGTTACTTGAACTTTCTAGGCCACGGTTTTCAGCCACCTGATTGGGGCGATATGGGGAGCGGTTAAATGTAAAACACTTAGGACAGCGTCTCATGCTCTTAATATACAGTAGTTATTAAAAGAAAAAAAAAAGACAAATGTGATTGGTTTTTCCTACTAGCCTGTCAACTGCGTGAGAACGCCAAATAAATGCCGATCCAGTGGACGCGGCCCAGAGGGCCGACCCCAGGGACCAGCCCTACGCCACGCCGCGCTGTTTTGCTGTGGGGCTTAACCTGACGTGGAGGGGCGGGACTTCCTGCGGAAGCGGAGGGGGAGGCACGGGCCGGTGGGTGCGGCTGACACATCAGTGGCGTTCCAGGTGCTGCGCGCGAGCCTAGGAGGCGAGCAGGGACCCGGGCTTTGTGGCCATCTCTCCGGGACCCCGCGACGCCGATATCCGTGCAAGGATGGCTCGGGGCGAGCGGCGGCGCCGCGGAGCGCCGGCAGACGGAGCGCGGACCGCTGAGAGGGCGGCTCGGGGCGGCCCCGCGCGACGGGAAGGCCGGGGCGGCAGGCCCCGGGGCGCGGCTGCCGGAGCCGCTCTGGCCGTCGTGGTCCTGTCTCTGGCCCTGGGCCTGTCGGGATGCTGGCTGCTGGCATGGCACCGTGCGCGGCGGGCTGTCACGCTGCACTCCGCGCCCCCGGCGTTGCCTCCCGACTCTTCCAGCCCCGCCGTGGCCCCGGACCTCTTCTGGGGCACCTACCGTCCTCACGTTTACTTCGGCATGAAGACCCGCAGTCCGCAGCCCCTCCTCACCGGTAACCTGGACGCGGGGCGGGCAGGCAGGCGGGCACTTAATCTGGGCGCCCCAGCTTCGCGCCAGATCAAGGGTGGTGAGGAGTGGATCAGGAGAGTTATTAAGAGGGATGACCCTGAAGTTCTCGGCGACCCAGAGGGACAGGTCCCCTGCTCTCTCTTTGACTTACCTGGCCATTCTACCCCCAGGACTGATGTGGGCGCAGCAAGGCACCACCCCGGGGACCCCTAAGCTCAGGCACACGTGTGAGCAGGGGGACGGCGTGGGTCCCTATGGCTGGGAGTTCCACGACGGTCTCTCCTTCGGGCGGCAACACATCCAGGATGGGGCCTTAAGGCTCACCACTGAGTTCGTCAAGAGGCCTGGGGGTCAACACGGAGGGAACTGGAGCTGGAGAGTGACTGTAGAGCCTCAGGTCAGGGCCCTCAGGACACCCTTCCCCTAGCCCAGACTTCCTCCACCCTTCCTTTGCTGCGTGCAAATGCAGGATAAAGTGGGGGTTAATAGCAGGGGCTCTGAGACTGGCTGCCTGGTTTGAATCTGCTGCCTGCCTTAAACACTTGCCTGTATGACCATCTCTTTTTACTATCTCTAAGCCTTGGTTTTCTTGTCTGTAAAATGGAAATAAAAAAGTACCTAACTCACAGAATTGTAAGAGTTAAAAGAAGTAATATGTAGAGTTCTTAGCATAGTACATGGGACAAAAGTACTATAATTTCCCAGAGAACCCTGTGCAGAGCTCTTTATCTCATCCCACTGGTGCTTACTTTCAGTGACCCTCAACACTGCTAGATGTATGTTGTTTACTGTGTTGCTCTCACCTGGTGTCCCTTTCCCTAAGGCTGATTCTCAGGGGAGAGACTGCTAACCTAATGCTGTGTTTTTATGTCCTCATTGGTCTCCCAGGCCTCAGGTACCTCTGCTCTCCCTTTGGTGTCCTTGTTCTTCTATGTGGTAACAGATGGCAAAGAAGTCCTAGTGCCAGAGGTTGGGGCTAAGGGGCAGTTGAAGTTCATCAGTGGACACACCAGTGAACTTGGTGACTTCCGCTTTACACTTATGCCACCAACCAGTCCAGGAGATACAGCCCCCAAATATGGCAGGTAACTGGGGGAAGAGAGTGTGGGGTGGTGGTATGGATGCTGACTTAGCCTGATTTCCATCTCCCCCATTCTACCCTATTTTCACCATGTTCCCTGCATTGCCAAGACTCTCCCATCCTGACTCCTGATCACCTCATGTTTTCGCTTTATAATCCCCACCACTTCCTCCTGAGTAATATTTCCTGTTTATCTTTTTCCTTTCAAGCTACAATGTCTTCTGGTCCTCCAACCCAGGACTTCCCTTGCTGACAGAGATGGTGAAGAGCCGCCTAAATAACTGGTTTCAGCATCGGCCCCCAGAGGCTTCCCCTGAACGCTACCTCGGCTTGCCAGGATCTCTGAAGTGGGAGGACAGAGGCCCAAGTGGGCAAGGACAGGGACAAGGGCAATTTTTGATACAACAGGTGACACTGAAAGTCCCCTTTTCTGTGGAGTTGGTGTTTGAATCAGGCAGTGCCCAGGCAGGAGGAAGCCAAGCCCTAGAGCAGCTGGCAGGCAGCCTGCTGACCCAGGCCCTGGAAAGCCATGCTGAAGCCTTTAGAGAGCGCTTTGAGAAGACCTTTCGGCTGAAGGAGAAGGGCCTGAGCCCTGAGGAGCAGGCTTTGGGTCAGGTTGCCCTCAGTGGTCTTCTTGGTGGTATTGGCTACTTCTATGGACAGGGTCTGGTGTTGCCAGACATGGAGGTTGAGGGGTCTAAGCAGAAGGTGGACCCAGTCCTCTTTCCACCTGTCCCTCTTTTCACAGCAGTGCCCTCCCGGTCATTCTTCCCGCGAGGTTTCCTGTGGGACGAGGGCTTTCACCAGCTGGTGATCCAACGGTGGGATCCCCGGCTCACCCGGGAGGCCATAGGCCACTGGCTGGGGCTGCTAAATGCTGACGGCTGGATTGGGCGGGAGCAGGTGCTGGGGGATGAGGCCAGAGCCCGGGTGCCCTCAGAGTTCCTGGTGCAACGGACAGCCCACGCCAACCCCCCAACTCTGCTTTTGCCTATAGCCCACATGCTAGAGGGTGGTGACCCTGCCGACTATGCCTTCCTCCGCAGGGCCTTCCCCCGCCTGCGTGCCTGGTTCTCCTGGCTTCATCAGAGCCAGGCAGGGCCAGTGCCACTATCTT